TCTCCCAGGGCCTCCTTGAGCTCTGTCCAGCCAAGTTGCTGCATTATGACACAACTTGCTTTTTAGGGATCCCCCACAGCATCTTGACCCTGGTGGCATTCACACTTTTCCTGTGGCATCCCAAGGTCTGGGCATGTGCACCTTGGCCTTTACTCCATTTTTAGCCATTTCCACAGCTCCTTTTCCCCCCAAATATTCCTTAGCAGCCATAAAACATCAAACACTAAACGAGCCAAGCCAACTAGAGCCTTACAGAGCACAACCAGCAACAATAACGATGGTATCACATTTTTCCTTTCCAAAACCCACAATTTCCTTTATATTTAAGATTTCTTCTAACCCTTCCCTCGCTTCGCACGCACTTAAAAAGCTCCTTTGACTTTGATACCAATGTTATAAAAAATCCCTACACTTCCCAACCTGGGGAAAACCCAACGCCCGACCACCCAACTGCGTTCCCAGAGTTGTAGTTTATATTAAAAACAAGGAAAGTTGCACATTTTCCATCAGCCAAAAGCGTCTTCAGGCAGCGAGATGAACCAGAGGAGCCTCCAAACCCTCCACACTTGGCAGCAGCGTGAGGGGGAAACTCCCCAGAGCTCTCCGGAGACGGCAGCGATTGATCCGACGCCGGGTTTTGGCTCCCCAGAGGCACCGGGAGCCTCACGGAACAAATCCCGTGGGATTGGACTCCCTGCCTCCGGCAGCATCTCTGCCACGCTCCAAAGGCACGTGGAGAGAAGGGAGCAGCTCGTGGGGTGTGATTTCACCCAGAAAGGGGCAGGTGGCGGGAGGTTTCCGAGGGGTGTGTGTGATCCCAGTGTCCTGACGCTCCCAGAAACCTTGGCTAGGGGTGGAACGGATCATGGACACCATGGAATCAGGGATGGCTTGGGTTGGAAGGGACCCTAAATTATCCAGCCCATCCCCGTGCCGTGGGCAGGGACACCTTCCACTAGCTCAGGTTGCTCCAACCTGGCCTTGGACACTTCCAGGGATGGGGCAGCCACAGCTTCCCTGGGCAACCTGTGCCAGGGCCTCCCCACCCTCACAGCCAAGGATTCCTTCCCCATATCCCATCTAACCCTCTCTCTGGTAGTGGGAAGCCATTCCCCCTTGGCCTATCACTTCAGGCCCTTGTCCAAAAAAAAAATCCAAACTAGACCTGCAGAAAGGTGCCCGAAAGTCCTTCAGAAACGACAGCAAAGCACAAACTTGGAAAATCCACTTGTTTCCAGGACACCTTTGGCTCCAGCACCGGTCCCAGCTTTACACCACAATTCCTTGGTTTCACCCCATCTTAGAAAAGCAGGAATTCCTTCAGAAATCACAGCGCAGGCATCGTGGAACAGGATGGGAATTAGGGATGTGTCTGACTTCCAACACACACACAACAGCTGCCAAAACCAGGGCACTGGATCCCGGCTGCTCCCGGCTCCCCGCTCCCCAACGGCACCGTGTGTGTTCACGAGACACAAAATAACAACACCAATATCAGAAAAATTCCAGCAGATTATTTGCTCTGCATCAGCCTGGTGTCTAAATCCCAACATCCTGGGTTTTTAAAGGATTTGTCATGGATGCAACTGCACAGAGAGAGAGCTGGGTCACCTTCCAGCACGGTCAGGGGGAAGGATCCTCACGGACACAGCTCTGCTTCCCAGAGGATGTCACACCTTGCAGGTGTGATCTGCTGGAGGGGGAACCCTCCAAACGCACGAAAAATGGAGCAAAATGCAACAAAAACTGCAAGAAAATCCCTGCAGGTTTGTTTGGAAGGGGTACAGAGAGGGAAAACACCCACCCTGCAGTGCTGAGCTCCAGCACCTGCCCTGAATAATGTGGATTTCAGACGTGGGATCCACCAGTTAATTCCGGCGATCCAACAGTTAATTCAGGCCTAACTTTGGGATAATACAGACAACCAGACCCCCTAATCCCTCAGATTTCCAGCAGAACTACCCCAAGTGCTCCCCAGAGAGCACCAAGTTTGGACATTAATGGTCTCTGTTACCATCAGCCACCAGTTTCCTGCTAGAACTGGGCTACTGAAGAGCAGTTCTGGCCCCAAAATTCCAGATTTTAATAAAAAAGTAACTCTTGGCACACCCCAAAATTCCCTGTTTTAAAAGCAGCAATTTCCTGACTTACCCCAAAATTCGAGATTTTAATAAAAACCAATCCCTGTGGCGCCTCAAAATTAGAGATTTTAAAGAAGCAGCTCCTGACCTACCCCAAAATTCGAGATTTTAAATAAGGAAGTTCTCCCCAGTACAAGTTTAAGCCTAAAAACTGGAAATGCTGCATTTCCCCTGCCTAAAAACTTAATTACAGTTAACGCTTCTGCAGGGCCCTGGAGATGTAAATATATAGGTTAAACATAGTTAAAATTCCACATCCTACTTAATTGCAGGCATTTTCCACGGAACAAAACGAGCTTTTTATCTTCAGCTTTTTAATTATTAATAACCACGAGCAACGTCGCCACCTTCAAACAATAAATCCCGGCCCTCGGAAGGAGATATTCCGATTTTCCCTCCCCAGCTGGAAAATTATCCTTGGGGGGGGGATAATATGGGAAGTTCACGTGGATTTTGGAGTGTTGGAGCACGGAGCGAGCAGGCCCTGAGCCTCCACCCTGCTTGGATATGGATTAATGACCACAATTAGCGGGATCATATGGATACTGGAGGGGGTGTGGGGGGGCTGTTGCCAAGCAGGCAGGATCCCTGCCAGGGATTCCCGGGATCTGGAAGCCCCGGCAGGCAGGGAGAGCGCATGGATACGGCCGACTCAGCTGAATCATAATGGCTGCATTGACATTACCTTTCCCGAACAAGGCCAACCTAAACACAGGCAGCTGCCTGGGATTTAGCAGGAGATTTACGGGCAGCACCGGCCACTCGGGAGACCTACAAACCACCACACAGCCCCCCCCCAGGACCCCTCCCCAAATCCAGGAGTGCTCTGGCATTATTCCCACTGAAAAATAAAACCCCAAAACCAAACCCCTGGGAGCTTCACCCACCCCCCCCCCCCTCCACCCCCAACCAGGGCCCGAGGGGCCTCCACGCTCCGGCTGCCACCCGGATCCCCTTTCCCTGGGTTTGAGGTTATTAACATTAAACATGTGATCGGCCACATGACAGGCTAAAAAGGAAAAAAAAAAAAAAAAAAAAAAAAATGGAAAGAAATCGCCTGGATGCATCCAGAGGGGAAGGGAGGGATGGCAGCATGGTGGGGACACCTCCATGGCCGTGGATTACAACCGTTCCTGGGAAATCTGCTGCTTCCAGCAGCCTGGAATGACCGAAGCCGTGGAGGGGGGGGAGGTTTAATAACGGGGTGATTGTGTAACTTGGAGCCTCTCGGCAAAAGTTGAGGCACCCAGTGGATGTTCCCGGGGACATGGATGGCACCGGATCAATTAGGGCAGCGAAATGTGCATCCCCCCCAGCCTCCTCCTCCTCCCGATCCAGGAGTTTCTCCCATAACGTATTTCGCTCCTCATTAACTGCTTCGGTGTCTTCTGCTCTTTCCAAAATAGTACCTACTATAACGGGGCCGGAGAGGGGGCCAGCTGGCACCGCCCGCGGGGCATCCGAGCGGGGAGCGGGGATTTGGGGGAGGAAAGACACCGGGAGCCGGCGGGATGAGTGCAGGGTGGGCTCTGCACCCCCCCCCCATCCCACCCCGAGCACCCCAGTCTGGGGGGGCTCGGACCTCGTGGGTGTGATGGATTGCACCCTCCCCGGGACGGGGATCCCCCCCTCAAACAGGGATGTCCCCTGGTGTCACCTTCCTGCCTTGTCACCTGTGCCCACAGGGCTGGGGGTCCACAGGACCCCCCCCTTTCCTCGCACTGCAGCAGAGAAAGGAGGGGGGGGCGCATCCTCTTGGACAGGGGGGGCCAAGAATGCCTCCCCCCAGTACAAGTGCCCCCCATAGAACAAAGGTGCCCCCCCCAAAACCAGAGAGACCCCCCCCCGGCTCCCCTGCGGAGAGGATACAACAGGGGGTGTCCCCCCAGCCTGACCCCCCCACTCAGGGCTCTCCCTTAAGGGGTCTGACCCACCAGAACGACCCCCCCGCTGTTCCAAGCATCCCCCCCCCCCTCTCTGGGCTACCCCAGCCTGGGGGTCCCCCCCAAGCCAGGCATCCCCTCCACCTCTTCCAGGCTCCCTCAGCCTGGGGGTGCCCCCTCCCCAGGATCCCCCCACTCAGGACTGTCCCAGTTTGGGGACGACCCCCCCCCCAAAAAAAACCCAGGCTCCCCCTGACTCAGGGCTTGGGGGTGACCCACCAGAACACCCCTTCCCCACCACTCCAGGCATCTCCCCCCTCTCTCTGGGTGCCCCCAACCTGGGGGTGCCCCCCTCCAAACCAGGCTTCTCCCCCCCCCAAAACCAGGCAGCCCCCCCCTTTTCTCAGGGCTCCCCCAGCCTGGGGACCTCCCCTCCAAACCAGGCATAGCCCCCCCGCTTTCTCCGGGCTCCCCCAACCTCGGGGGGCTCCCCAAATCACGTTCCCCCCCCATCTCTCTCCAAGCTCCCCCAACGCGGGGGGGAAAGGGGGGGTGTCTCTCCCAACCCGGGGGATCTCCCCCAGCTGGGGGACCCCCCCAAACCACGCTCCCCCTTCCCTTCTCGAGGTTCCCCCAACCTGGCCATAACCCCCACCCCCCCCAAAACCATCCCATCCCCCCAAATCCACGCTGCCCCCCAGCCTGAGCGAGGAGGGGGGGTCTCCCCCAACCTGGCGACCCCTCCCCTTCCTTCCAAACCAGACACCCCCTTCCCAACCACGCATACCCCCTCCCCTTTTCTCCGGGCTCCCCCAGCCTGGGGACGCCCCCCCCTCCCAAACCACACTCCCCTCTTTTTTCCCTAGGGGGGGTTTCCCCAACCTGAAGCCCCCCCCAATCCGGATCCCACCTCCCCCCCGCGCAGGCAGGGGGCGCCCTGGCCGCCCCCCCCATTCCCCTCCCTTCCTCCCCTCACCCTTGACGATGCGCTCGGTGGTCGGCAGCTTGTTGTGGCCGCGCCCGGACATGGTGGCGGTGGCACCGCTCCCTCCTCCTCCTCCTCTTCCTCCTCCTCCTCTTCCTCCTCCCCACCGCCGTGCCCCCTCACCGCTCCCCTCGCACGGGGGGCCGCGGGGGGTGCTCCCGGCGGCGGCTCCGCGGCGCTGCGATCCCGCCCCCGCCGCCGCCGCCGCGGCCGCCGCCACCACCACCACACCGCCCTCCGCCCTCTGCCCCCCTCCTCCTCCTCCTCCTCCTCCTCCTCCTCGCCTTCCCCTCGCACTCCGCCCAGCGCAGGCGCCGCGCCCGCCCCGCCCCGCCCGCCATCTTGGAGGGGAAGGGGGTGGTTGCTAAGCAACGGAGGGGGGGCGACATGGCGGCGGCGCCCCCATCGCCCTCATGGCGTCGGAGGTGACAGTCCCGGAATCACCCCCTCGGGGTTGGGTGGGAAGAGGGGCTGTGAAATGGTCTAGTAAAAAAAAAATTATCTAGTAAAAAAAAAAATAAATTTTTTTAAATTATCTAGTAAATGGGGAAAAAAAAAATTACCTAGTAAAATTACCTGTAAAATTATCTAGTAAAAAAAAAAAAATGAAAAGAATTATCTAGTAAATTAAAAAAAAATTATCTGGTAAAATTATCTGTAAAATTATCTAGTAAATTAAAAAAAAAGTTATCTGGTAAAATTATCTGTAAAATTATCTGGTAAAAAAATTTGAAAAAGTTATCTAGTAAATTGAAAATAAATTATCTAGTAGAATTACCTGTAAAATGATCTGGTAAAAAAAATGTAAAAGAATTATCTAGTACATTGAAAAAACATTATCTAGTAAAATTATCTGTAGAATTATCTGGTAAAAAAAAATTGGAAAAAATCTAGTAAATTGAAAAAAAATTATCTAGTAAAATTACTTGTAAAATTATTTAGTAAAGAAAATTAAAAGAGTTATCTAGTAAATTGGGAAAAAAATTATCTCGTAAAATTATCTGTAAAATTAGTAAAAAAAATTTTTTTAAATTATCTAGTAAATTGAAAATAAATTACCTAGTAGAATTACCTGTAAAATTATCTGGTAAAAAAAAGTAAAAGAATTATCTAGTAAATTGAAAAAAATTATCTAGTAAAATTACTTGTAAAATTATTTAGTAAAAAAATTTAAAAGAGTTATCTGGTAAATTGAAAAAAAATTATCTAGTAAAATTATCTGGTAAAAAAATTTTTTAAATTATCTAGTAAATTGAAAAAAAATTATCTAGTAAAATTACCTGTAAAACTGTCTAGTAAAAAAAAATTTTTTAAATCATCTAGTAAATTTAAAAAAAAAAAAAATCTAGTAAAATTACCTGTAAAATTATCTAGTAAAAAAATTTAAAAGAATAATAAATTTTTTTTTAAAAATTATCTAGTAAAATTATCTGGAAAATTATCTATTGCCCTTCCAATGGCAGCGGCGCTTGGGCTCCAGTCACCAACCAAGCCCTCTGTGGGCTGAAGGAGGGCAGGGTTAGATGGGATAAATGGAAGGAATTCTGCCCTGTGAGGGTGGTGAGGCCCTGGAATGGATTTCCCAGAGGATGCCCCATCCCTGGGAGCATCCAAGGCCAGGTTGGAAGAGGCTTGGAGCAACCTGGGCTAGTGGAAAGTGTCCCTAGGGGGTGGCACTGGATGATCTTTCTGATCCCTTCCCACCCAAACCATTCCCAGGATTCCATTAGCCCAGCCAGCAGGCCCTGCTGAGGCAGCTGAAGTTTCAGGCATTCACCAAAACATGAGGATTTTACAGCAAAAAAAAAAAGCCCACCCAAAGCCCCCCACACTCCCTAAGCACTGGAAGTGCTGAGAGGGAGTGGGAGCAAGTCAGATGCACACCGAGCCCTCCCTTCCTTAATATAACATTATTTTTTTTTTTATAAAGCACCCCAGAATTTCTAGATTTATTTTCTTTAGCTGCAAAGGGGTTCCTAAAAATCGCGTTCACTGCTTGGAGCTGGCAGCTCGGGGGGAACTGTATATAAAAAAAGAGAGAAAAAAGGGAAGGGGAAAAGCAAAGTTTGCTGCTTTTTTTTTTTTTTTTTCCCCCTAATGGAGGGTGGGGAATCAAGGACACGAACGCTGCTTGGAATCTGTCTCCCTCGTGTGAGCTGGAGAGGAATCCAGCATCCCATACCCCCCCCTCCTCCCAGCCAAACCACTGCTTGGAAATACGCTTAAAATAAATTTAAAAAAAATATATCTATAATTAAAAAAGGGGATTTTGGAGTCGTAAAGGCCGTGCCACGCGGCCAGGCCGGGGGTTGTCAGTGCCATCTTCTGTCAGCTGCACTGCACTGCACAAGCCATGGAAATCCAGCTGGAAAACCGGGATTGCATCACCCAGCCTGGCTCAAACCCTTCCCCTTGGAAAAATCCTGAGCCAGCAGCGCTCCCACCCCTTCACCCCCTCCTCCAGCTCTGCCCACAGGGAGGTGTCGCTGCTTGGGACCCTCCGTCATTACAGAATATATTTTATTTATGGAATTTTACAAATATCTGTACAGTTCACGTGACATTAAGTTACGCTCTTTGTTTCAACGCGTTCTCTCCCACAACACCTGAGTTATTGAAATACTGAGATGGAACTGGAGCTTCCAACTGGACACGGGAAGGGAAACACGGATGAAAATCCATAACGAGCTCGATTTGGGTGGGTTTTTTTCCCTCCTCATCCTCCTGCCTGCCCCATCCCTTCCCTGCTGGCAGGTTCCAGCCTGTCCAGCTGGGAATGGGAAGAGGGGGAGCCTTATTTCTCTGGGGGAGGGGGTTCACCCCCACACCCTAAATTTTTGGGTTGCAGATTTCTCAAAAAAAAACCAACCAGGGTAAAACTGGAAACGAGAAGACGATGGATTCACGATTCCCACCTTGTGCCGAGGGGCTGCACCGCCTCCCAGGAATCCCAGCATCGCTCCTGCCGCTTCCCAGCTCTAGGGGACCTCCCAGGCACAGCCCTCAGGGGACAAACACCCCGATTCCCCCCCCTTTCCTCCACCACTTTTCCATCGGTGCCCCATGGAAACCCTCCAGCCACCTGGTGTTTTTCCAAACGCTCCCTTGGGAGAGAGGAGAGGGCACGTGTGCCAGTCCAAGGACTCAGATTTTCCACATCGAGTCGCTCGGCCGGGCCTGCAGCTCTCTCAAGCAGGGAAAAGGAGTTTCCAGTGGCACTTTCCTCCTGGATTAGCAGCACAGGGAATGAGTGTGAGGTGCTGCACAGGTGACTGAGCCAGGGCAGGCCTGGCTGCTCTGTCCCACAGGGAGAAGTGACTTAAGGTGACAATCCACAAAACAAGACACCACACGAGATAAAGGAAGGAATCTTTCCTTGAAGGAATCACCCGAGGACCATGTGGCATCTCTGGGTGGAGGGTGCTCCCAAAAAGGCTCCCTGCTCCTTGACAAGTTCATATTTAGGTTTTGGGGTGCAGGACAAAGCCAACAGCCTTGTGGTGCTGAGGGGACTAAGCCCAGCCTAGGAAAGCCACTGAGAGCAGAGGTGACGATCCATAAGGATACTGGAAATGTCAGAGTCCAGGGACTTGGTGACAACGGTCAGGAGTTTAGGAAGAACAGCATCCAGCTGGGAACTAAGGGAATTCAGGGACTACAGCCATCCAACCAGGGTACAACGCTGCTGGAGGTGCTGAGCCTGTGCCAGGGGCTGAGGAAAAATCCCTGGCACACCCTTGGCTTTGCTTTCCGCAGGGTGGGGAGGGAAGGTGTGGGATCCTCGGCTCCAGGACCACACTGAGGTGGCAGGATAGTCACACACACCCCCTACACAGCCAGGGAGGGAGGGAAGACACTCCCTGACAAGCACAAACACTTCCCAAAGCACCCGCTCCGCTCCTCCATCCCAATCCAAGGGAAGCTCCCTGAATCCACTCCTGCTTATCCACACAGCCACCAGCTCACACCAGGTACAGGACAAGGTTTGGGGGGGGGAAAGGGGGTGCAAGGGGACCTCAAGCAACAGGGGTGGGGTGGGCAAGATTATCAATATGATAACTAGTAATTCACGTAGTGAATCTGGGGAAAGCCAGCCCCGGGGGCAGAGCTGGGAAGTGCCTGGAACACCCTTCTCTGGCTACTCCCTAAGGCTGGAAAAACGCAACCTAAAGAGGTTCACAGTCTGGTATTTTGTTTTAAAAACAGCCCCCGCCCCACCCTGAACCTCAGCAGTGTTTAAAAGCCGGTGGCTGTTCCCAGGTGTCACCATGAGCTTGGACACAGCCTGAGGAGAGACCCCTGGGCTGGGAGCCCACGGCCAGGCAGGGCTCTGCTCTCACCCCCCTTCCCACCAGGAGGAGTTGGGATTTGCCCCTCTTTCCAGCAGCACAGGGGGGGCCAGGATATCCCGCTGGGCTTCTCCCAGCAGCCCACGTGTCACTTCAACCTGGCCTGGTGTCCTCTGCTCCGAGTGTGGACACCCAAAGTGTGCTTTAAAATCCCAACCCTCTTCACCCTGCTCTCCCCAGGGCTGGAACGGAGCAAACCCCGTCGGATGGTGGTGACATCATGAGCCTCCTCATCCTCAGCTGTGCCTGGAGAGCACAGCTCCGAGGGATGGCTGGTGGGGAACGCTCCGAGAAGGGTCTGTCCCCATCATACACCCCCCAAAGGGGTCAGGAGAGCGTCACATCCCATGGGAACGCTCCAAGAAGGGTCTGTCCCCATCCGTCCCCACCCCAAAGGGGTCAGGACGGCGTCACATCCCATGGGAATGCTCTGAGCACGGCTGAAGCAGCTCCTGCCTCCCCACTCCATCCTTCCCAGGAGAGGCGAGGAGACCAGGGATATGACAGGGGAAAGCGATCCTCCGGTCAGGTCAGTCCTATGGGAAGGGGGGATTCAGCCTCCCCTCACAGTCTTAAACCCAAAGAAGGTCTGTGGAACAGCTTTCAAAGCGATGTCTCCTCTGTAGTGTGACGTCAGTGCCCGCACAGGTACCGTCGTTTGCTTGCAGCAGGAAAAGGGAAGGGAAAAAAAAAAAACCAAGGAAAACCCCTTCCCCCAACCCCCCCAAAAAAAAAAAAATAGGAAAAACATGGATCAGGGCTGCAGCTCGGGCTGGTCCTACCCAATCTGGATCTGGCCAGAGTACATGGTGAGCAGCACCATGATGGTGAAGCCTGTGAGCAGCCCCGCGTTCTGGATGGCGAAGGTGATCAGGGCGCTGCCGTTCTGCTCGTCCTCCCGACTCACCTCGTTCATCTCGGGGAACTGGGAGGGGAAAAAACAGGCATGGCAAAGGCTCAGCGGCAGGAAAGGCTCTGTTCTTCCCAGGAAAAAAACACCCACCCCCCCCGCCCCAGCCCGTGGATTTCGCTCAGCCAGGCAAAGCAAAGCGGAGACAGCAAAGCGTGTGCCGAGGGAACGGAGCAAACCCACCCCCAGGCTAAAGTTTTCCTAGGAAAAAAGCCCTGGGAAGATCCCAACCACGCACCCAGGCTCGGGATTTACCATGTCAGCCAGAGCTATGTACAGGAACATCCCTCCAGCCAGAGCGAAGATCCAGTTGGCAGAGAAGTGGCTGCCGGCCACGATGCCGAAGGCCAGGCCCACGTAGCAGCAGCAGGCGGAGATGAAGTTGAAGAAAAGAGCCTGGCGGATGGTCATCCCGGCGTTCAGCAGGATGACAAAGTCCCCTGCGGGAGAAAAGGACAGGAGGATGAGGAGGGAAGGGCTGTTGGCAGCATCGGGACAGCACCGAGGGGCCGCCTTGAACTTCGGGTCATAAATCGTGGAGTGTCCTCAGCTGGAAGGGACACACAAAGGATCATTGAGTCCAACTCCTCCCCCCGCACAGGACAGCCCCAAAAATCACATCCTGTGCCAGCTCCTGCGTGGGCTCCCCCACTGCCCTTAAATTCAGTCCTTCACACCCAAACCTGCCTCCTCCCTCCACTAACAGCACACCACTGCCCCTAAACTCAGATATTCACACCCAAACCTGCCTCCTCCCTCCTCTAATAGCACACCACTGCCCCTAAATTCACACCCAAACCCACCCCCCTGCACTGACCACACCACTGCCCCTAAATTTGGACCTTCCCACCCAAACCCACCTCGCCCCCTCCCAAACCAACGAGGTGTCGAGGGTTTCGGTTTCTCTTTTTTTTTTGCCTTCAGATGTCTCCATCTAAATTTAAATCTCAGACATCATATTACCTCGTTATTTTTAGAGCGGCGATTACTCAGTGCCGTTTCCAGCCTCGCCTTCCCCTCGCCGTTTATCCCACCCCAAAATCCGCCTTCCTCTCCGGGGAAAAGGGACCGACCCCAAGGGGGAGCGGGACCGGGAGAGCAGCGGAGGGGCAGATCCGGGGGACTCACGCACCCAGCTCGTGCGGGAACTCCTCGCAGAGGATGGCCACGGAGGTGCTGATCCCTTGGAAGACGGAGACGGTGAAGGAGGCGCCGATGGCCAGCCCGTCGATGAAGTTGTGGAGGCCGTCGCTGAGGGTGATCATCCAGGCCAGCGTCCCGATGTCGGAATACCGCACCTCCTTCAGCCAGTAGCACGCGCTCTGGGAGGCCTGCAGGTCCTGCCACAGCACCCCGACGCGGGGGCTCAGCACCCAAACGCTCCAGGGGGGTCGCTGATCCCTCCTCCAGCCGGGAAAACCATCCCCACGCTCATTAAATCCACATTGAATGGGCGGAGCCCTCTGCTTCCCACCCCCCGCAGAGGGTTTGGGGTCCGAGACTCCCTTTCCGTTGGCGGGCGGGCTTTTCCCATGTTCCCATCCCACGGGACAGGGCGCTCACCTGGACAGAGAGGGAGCCCACCACAGCCTTCTCATCCCCGGAGGGGGGCTTGCGCTCCAGCTCGCCGGTGATGTGCGGGATCATGTGGTCCAGGTCCCCGTTCTGCAGCTTCTCCGTGACCCCCTCCTCCTGGTCCTTCTTGGAGGGCAGAGCCTCGGGGCCGTAGTGGCTGTGCCCGTGGTGGTGCTGCGGGATCAGGGGATTCGGGGCTGTCAGACACCCCCACATTCCCGCTGTTCCCCACCACCCACCAGCCCCTGCTCAGCCTCACCTGGTCCTTCTGCTTCAGGAGCATCTTCAGGACCTTCTCCGTGAAGAAGAAGAGGTAGAAGCCCCCGAACACCACGGCGGATTTGGAAACGTAATAATCTTCCTGAGGGTTGAATCCAAACGCCTGCAGGCAGGAGGGGCCACGGGAGAGGATGAGGAACAGTCCCTGGCAGGGTCCTTCATCTACCTTAGGCCCCAGAGGGGGTGGCACAGCTTTCTGACCTCTCTAAGCAGCAGCTCCTTTGGGGACAAGCTCAGAAAATGCCTTTGTGCACCTTTAATCTCCCTCATTCCCTCCTCCAAGCTGGCTGTGCCCCAAGGCATCGGATCCAGCACCCGCCCTGGGGCAGGGGTGCCAAAACCAGGGCTCCACGCTCAGAGAGGACCTGCCTTCAGGGCCAGGAAAGGCAATAAAACAGTGATTCTCTGCTTGAAGCAGAGTGGGCTCTGCCTGGAGCAACTCCCTTCCAAACTGTAGTTCCAAGGGGCTTCCAGCCTCCGTACCTCGCTCTGGGCTCCCCTCCGACGCCGCCTTCCCCTTCTCCAGCCAGAGAGAGAAACAGCCCCCGAGAGAGAGAGAGAGAAAAGCACAGACCCGCCCGGTCCTCTCCCTACCTCGGGAATGAGCTGGAAGAGGGCGTTGGAGTAGAGAGTTCCAATCGCCAGAGCTATGAAGTAGAGGAGCAGCCGCTTGTAAAAGGTCTTCTTCATGAAGGGCACCACGCTGGCTCCCACCAGCGAGCACAGGGAGATGACGGACACGCAGAGGAAACCGTAACCCCAGACTGAGGCGTGAGAGCCAAACCCACCCCGGGGGAACGGGAAAGGCGAGGGAGGGGATCAAGGCGGGCACGGGGAGGGAAGGAATCCACACCGACAGGACAGAGAGAGGAGGGAGGGAGAGAGGGGAGAGAAGAGGACATTCATTAGTGATTGTTGTTCATCTCGGCTTGGCTCGGACCTGGCGCCGGGCGGCTTTGGGAATGGCTCTTTGGGAAGGGTTGGATTCTTGGAGCGAGCGGCTCTCGCAGCCGGGTTTTGGCAGCCAGGCCGTGTCCCAGCCAGCCCCCAGCTCTGCTCCATGAGCCATTCCCGAGCCACGGAGCGCCCAGGTTCCCTGAGCACCTCGTACACTCCATCCCAGGCCACGCCGGGATGCTCCGAGCGCTGGCGAGGCTGGAGCGTACGCACGGCATCCCGATTCCCGGAAAAATCAGGAATTAGAGGCGCTTGGTTTTTATGTCCAGCGAATAAAAGTTGCAGTTCTGGAGCTGAAAGGGAGCCTTGGAAAAACATCCCACTGCCAAGACGGGTGAGGTGATCGTTGCCCTGGCAATGCCAGGGGGAAAAAAACCCTGTGGAATTTTAAGGCTGGATGTGCAGGAGCTCGGATCCAGCTCGTCCTCTACCCAGGAGCTACTTGTGCTCCGAGGAGCCACCTGGACAGTGTTCCAAAGGTGTCCAAATCCGTGTGGATTTATTCAACTCCAGAACTGGGCAATTACAACACAATTAATTTGCAGTATTTCTTGTTGGTCCCATCAGAGCACCAGGAAACCTCAGGGAAGCCTGAACCTTTGTGGAAACACCGGGCTGGGAAATCAGGGAGAGGCGGGGGGGGGGCCGAAAAAAATACAGGCAATAAAGGCCTTGTAAAATTTGGCTGATTCCAGAGGAAGCTGATGCTGTTCTCCGTGTTTTTATATGGATATTTCCTCCTTTTATATGGATATTTCCTCTGTTTCGCAGTACTCTCCCACTAGTGCTGCCTCCAGCATGGCTGAGCACATTCTTCCAAGGGATAAACTCCTGGCCACTCCAGGAGCACATTCCCACTCCTCAGACCCGGCAGGGCTGGAGGACACAGCCTCCCTGCCCGCTCCAGAGGGTTTCCTGGTGCTCGGAGGGGGCGAGAAAAGCCCCTGAGACGAGCCCTGAGCCTCGGGTGACGGAGGGGACCGGCTGGATTCGGCGGGGTTTGGAGGCAGAGAGGGCCCCGGAGCCGGGAGAGAGGGCAGGGACGTTCTACCGCACCTCTGGGATGAGCTGGAGGAGCGCGTTAGAGAGCAGCGTGCCGATGGACAGCGCGATGAAAAACGTGAGGACCCGGCGGAAAAAGGCCTTGGCGGAGCACGGCACGATGAGGACTCCGAGCAGGGAGGCCACGTTAATCATGGACACACTGAGAAAACCAAAGCCCCACACTGCGGAGAAGGAGAAGAAACCAGAGGGGCCAGACATTACCGAGGCTCTCGGAGAGCCCGGATCCGGGCGGGAAAGGGCTGGCTCCGGGTCTATTCCCAGGCCACGTGGCACTGGAGGGTCTCTCCCTGTGCTCTGGATGTCTCAGCTGCGACAAAACCGTCGGTTTTTTTGGTGCAGGGAAAGTGGGAATGAAACCATTGGGTTACTTGGCAAAGGCTTTCCCGAGCCAGCCCCAGGGTGGGGCTCAGGGCAGCTGATCCAAGACCATGGGCATCGTCAGGAGCGGGATACACGGGAGCTGGTTGAGCATCCACTGGTGGCTGGAGGCCAGCGGGTCCCTCCAAGTGCCAGGTCACCCCCTCCCACCCACAGGGACTCATGGCAAGGTCCCCTCCTCATCCAGTTATCCCGGAGGCACAGAGGTTATCCCGGCGAAACCATGCCACGGCACAATCCACAGCGAGGAAAACCCGTGGGGATTCCTGCCTGCTGTAGGCAAGGAATTCCCAGGAGCGGGAACCACCTGTGCTGGAGGTCCCGGGGTGCCTCATCGCTCCTGAGCTCCGTGCCCGGGCCTGGGCAGGGCCTGTGCCCCTCCAGCTCCCCTCTTACCTTCAGCCGAGCTGGGTCTGCCCTCCTCCGTCTGCTCGTTTTCCTCATTTTCCAGGTTTTCAGAGGCGCACGCCCCCGACTCCAGCTGCTGCAGGATGGTGGGGCAGAACTCCTTGAACTCCCTGTGCCCCACGGCAGAGCCCTCGCTCAGGTTGTGGATGGCAAAAAGCTCCACGGAGCTGAAGCACTGGGGAAGGGAAGGGAACAGGAACGTGCCTTGAGACTCCCGCAGCTCCGCAGGGAGGTTTTGGGATCTGCAGGGAGGTTTTGGGGCCCTACCCGGGAGAGGTTCAGGCGCTGCTGCGGTGACTGGGAGACGTTGGCGTGTCCCACTCCCACATCCAGGCGGTTCAGCAGGGCCTTGAGCTGCTTGAGGCTCAAGGTCTGGCTCTCTCCGTAGCGCTGGAGCAGATCCTGCAGGAAGGAGGCTGCGGAGACTCCCGGGCTGTCCCTGCCCGCCCGGACCCGCGGGCAGGGAAGGAGGCAGAGCAGCAGGAGCAGGCAGCAGCTCCGGGGGCCCGCGCCGGGGATCATGGTGCCTCTGGGATGCTGGGAGGGAAAACACACACTGCTGTTGGCTTTGGCGTTCCCAGCGCTCCAACCGCCGCTCCTCCACCCCACAGCCCCGTCGGGAGACGGCACGTTTCTTCCTCAGGGAAAAGGGGATGCAGCGTTGAGAGCACCCAGATCTTGAGGGGGGACTTGTATACAGGACCACCCGCTTCTCCCCCACTCTGAGCCACCCTCTGCTCACCGTGGGGGGCTGCCAGGACACGGCTCCCGGGGGTTCTCCAGCTCCGCAGCACTTCGGGACCCTGGGAAGAACAGCAGGTGGTGGGAAGCAGGCAGGGCTTGTGCCTCTGCCAGCCCCAAATCCAGCTCTCCGTGGCGTGAGGAGTCACGCTCCAGCTCCCAGCCACGCGTGGGTCCCCTCGGCGTCACCAGGAACGGGACACAAATCCCTCCAGGAGCTCGGAGGACGTGGGAACCCAGGGGACAGAGGTGGAACTTTCACGGGGTTATATTTTAACCCGGATAATTACCATGAACCGGCTCCTTCCCCGGCTCCAACTGTAGGAGCCTTTATAGTGTTTGCCCAGAGTCAATCCTTGCCCTCTCTGCTCCTTTCATACGCGCCGGGGATCAATAAAAGTGGGGTGGCACAAACCCGGGGTGCAAAGGAAGGGGCTGGGGGAGACGGGGCGAGGGGGGGACGACACGCCAGGCACGACCTGCACGTCCACTGTGGGAGGCACCCGAGAGGCTGGAGCAGGGCCTGGGCTGCCTTCCTGGGAAAACTGCACCGAGAGGTGGGCGGCGAACTTGGGATTCACAAGGACCAGGAGAGAGTAACAGTCCGCTGGTTCCGTAAGTGCAGCAGCCACCCCGATCCCAGTGCGGGGCTCCAGGCATGTCCTGCCTCCTGGCTGCCCTTCCCAGGGGCTCCCGGATCTCCCTGGGATACCCCACAGCCTGTGCTGAGAGCTCGCAGGCTCCGGGCTCCTCCAAAAATGAGCCCAGGACATTTTTGAAGCCCAGCCAAGCAATTGTTCCGAAAATAACCTGGGGCCAGGACTGTGAGGAAAAGGGGCGCAGGAGGACCCTGCTCCCCATCCAGGACCCCACTCCCCCTCCGAAGGCTCCCACATTCCCACAGGTTTTACCAGCTTACCACCACCTTGTGAGCTTTGTTCTGGGGAGGTTTTAGCCTCCTCCTGCCAGGGCTTAGCTCAGATGCTTTGGTTTAACCCCTCTCCTCCCAAAACATGGGGAGGGAGCTCATCCAGTGGGGTGCTGGTGCTGAGTGGGGGTACCTAAGGGACCTCTGCCTCTTCAGCAAGCCCGGACCCTTCCTCTGCTTCTTCCTCCCTATCCCAACCCGCCCATCCAGGTGGATCCTCTCAGGCTACATGGGACATCCTGGTGACTCCCACAGGTGCTGGCACACGGCCCACGGTGCCAAAGGTCTGCCCCAGTGGCCGCGCGTCCCGGGACGGGGGACATTGGCTGCCCTTCCCTGCCCGTGCCAGCCGAGTGCTCCCCATATCCCTGATCCCGCCTGGAGCCATCCCGCCGGGCCGCACACCGCCCGTCCCGGCCCGTGCCAAGGCACGCAGCCCCCGCCGGAGCCAAAATCGCTCCCAGGGGTTTCTCCCGAAGCCGGGCTGAGCCGGATACGCCCAGGGTGGAAAACCGGACCTCGACTCCTGCCCCAGCTGCCAAAGGAAAGGCAGGAAGCGCCGCGCAGGCAGAGCCGGGCAGCGGCAGGAGCCGCACGGGCTCGCTCCGTTTTAGGGCAAAAACGAGGTGGAGGAGCCGCCCCTGCGGAAGGGCCCAAAGAGGGACATCCCGAGGGGCTCCGGCCCCCCGAAAGCCACGGGGAGCTCAGGGCAAGGCGGGAGGGTGCCAAACACATCCATCCATCCATCCGTCCATCCATCCCCGCATCCCGGGGCAAAGGGGGTGTGCAGCGAACACCCCGGAGCGCGGCCCCTCGCCACCCCACCCGCGGAGCGGTCCCAGCCTCCTGCCCGCTACCTCCAAGGGCGTCCTCCCGCCGGGATCCGCTCCCGGAGCCCGGAGCCAGCGCCTGACCTACTTTATCTCCCTCTGGGATGGGGCACAGGGACAAACCGCTGCCACGGGAAGGGACGGATGCCCGGCGAGGGATGTGCCCGGGAGCGATGCCACGACAGCACACAACAGAGCTCCCAAGGCCACGCCAGTCCTTCCCATCTCCCTGGGCTTCACTTCCCAGCGGTCATCGATCCGCCAGCGGGAAGGTGACGCCGGGAATAAGAACCGCTGGCAAAGCCATGACCCCGGCGACGTCAGCCCCGCGCCAGCTCTTCCCGAAATCCCGCTCGCTGGCGCAAGACTGGAAGGGGAGGGGGGCACTGGGGGCTCCCGAAAACCCCACCGGGATGAATCCCGCTCCTGGAGCCGGCGGGGCCGAGCTCCTTCCGGAGCAAACGCTGCTCCACACGTCCCGCGGGCAGGAGGGTTTCCAGGAGGGTTTCCAGGAGGGTTTCCGTGCCCTGGGGCACGTCCCGGGGCCACGTTTCTCGGGTCACGGATCCCCCTCTGCCCCCCCTGGAGCCTCCGGGCAGTGTCTTGTCCCTTCCTCTCCCCGCAGGCCCCGGGGCGGGCAGGCGGGCAGCAAACAGGGGAATATCCCGGCCAGCCCACCCTACACGGACCCCCCCAGTGCCCCCCGTGCTGAAGCTGCTCCTGCTGCCCCCCCGGCCCTGCCCTATCCCCCCAGTCCCCATGCCCGGCCCTTTTGCCCCCTGCCCGGCCCCAGAGCTTGCACTGCTGGTGCCAGACCCCATAGCAGGGTCCTGCGTCCCAAAATTGGGTCCTGCACCCCATAACAGCGTCCTGCAGCCCAGAGCCCACCTCCACCTGCCCCAGACCCCGCTGGCAGCCCCAAAGCGACCCCCCCACGCTGCCTCCAAGCCTAGGCCCGCTCCTACACCCCAACCCCGCTCTCCTGCAGCCTTCCCTGCATCCTTCCCCGCATCCCGCAGGGATCCTCTCCCCCATCCCCATCCCCATCCGGGGCTCGGGGCCGGCCCCAGCGCGCTCCCCCCGCTGCACCGCCGCGCTCCCCGCGGCCCCGCAGCGGTTTCCCCGGCCCGTCGCACCGTTCCCCGTCTCGTCCCGGCGCGGTCCATCCCGGTGCATCCCGGCCCCTCCCGGTCCTACCTCCGCTACCGCTCCCGCTCCCGCCGTCGCTCGGGCGGGGCGGCGCAGGGCGCACGCTCGGCGCGAGGACACGGTGAGCGCTCCCATTGGCTGGCGCGGACAAGGAAAACGCCCCCCGCCGGGGCATGGCCCCACTCACCCGCTGCGTTGCCTGGGGGGGAACGGGACCCCCAAACACCCACCCAAAACCACCGCCGGGACCCCCAAAACACCCCAAATACACCGGGACCCCCCCAAAATACTCAAAACCACACCCGTGACTCCAAACCCAACCCATAAACACCCACTGACACACCTGTGACCCCAAAAACCCCAAAAATACACCGGGACCCCCAAAAACACCCCAAAATACACCCGGGATCCCCCCAAAACACCCCAAAATACACCCGTGACCCCCCCCCAAATACCCAAAACCCACGCCCGGGACTCCAAAAACACCCCCAAAACCACCCAAAACCACACGCAGGACCCCCCAAAACCACACCTGGGACCCCCAAAAACACCCAAAACCACACCCAGGACCCCCAAAAACACCCCATAAAAACCCAATAACACATCTGGGACCCCCTAAAACACCCCAAAACCACACCCGGAACTCCCAAAAACACCCCAAAAACACCCAAGAACATCCCAAAAACACACCTGCCCCCCCCAAAAAACACCCATAAAACACATCTGCGGGGACAGGGACCCCCAAAACAACACTTAGGGGGAACTGGACCCCCAAAAACCACATCCCAAAACCTCCCAAAAACACACCTGGGGGGACCAGGATCCCTAAAAATCACCCACTCCCCCAAAAACCACGCAAGAACTACCTAAAAAAAAACCCCTAAAACCCACCCCAGGACCCCCAAAACCACCCGAAGACCACCCAAAACCCCACCCCGGGGGCAGAAGGCACCACATGGACCCCCCTAAATGTCCCTTCAGTGGCACTGGGCACCCCAAGGACCCCCCAAAACACCCCTCAGGGGCACGGGGGGGGTTCTATAACCCTTGGGGTTACGGAACATCCCTCAGACCACCTCCCCAAACACTCTTTGGGGGCACAGGACGCTCCTCAACCCCTTCCCAAGGGGACAGGGCACCCCAGGGACCCCCTTGGAAGGGCTGGGGGGATTTGGGGCAGGGACAAATCCTGCCAGGGCTGGTCCTGGCTCCTCTCCCTGTGCCAAGGAGCCAGCAAGGGCAGGGACAAGGCAGTGCTGGGGTATAAAAAGCTGCTGGTGAGGGGCCAGGAAGAGCAGGGACCCCCCCATCCTGCACCCCCACTTTGTCCCAGCACCCCCAGCCCCCCTCCCCGAGCCAAGTTTTGCTCCCAAATCCCAACCCAGGCTGGGCCAGGGCTGCCAAAGTCCGCCTGGACCGGCAAATAAACAGGGATAAAGGGATCAATGATTAACCAGGGGCACAGGGTGACAGCACTGTTGTTACCCCCCTCCACTCCGTGTCCCCTCTCCATCCCTGGGAATGAGGGGGAATGACCCACCCCTGTCACCCACCCCCCCACTCCAAGAAGGAGCAGCTGCCAGCAACAGTTTTATTGAAAAGAACCAAAAACTGGTCACAGCAAAGGCAAAAAAATTGAGGAATTACAACTTTTTTGGCATTAAAACGGAGGGGAGAGGCTGGGAGGAGGGTCCTGCTGGACCCCCATCCCTGCTAGGGATGCACAAGGAGGGGTTTGAGGCACCTTTTGGGGTGTTTTAGGGTGTTTTTTGTGGTCTCGCAGCCCCAGGCTCGAAGGTCTCAAACATCTCCTGGACTAAGGCAAAAAAACCCCCACACCTGAAAAAGGTGAGAACTGAAAAACTTTCCCCTTGGGACAACGACCTGAATGCACAGAGAATTCTCCTTGAGAAACCAGTGACTCCTCAAGGACAGGAGAACCAGCCAAACCTGGGGCTGGTTTGTTCAACAGCACCTTGGAAAAAAGACAAAAAAAAAAACACCAGGAAAAACTTGAAACCTCCCTGGAAACACAAGAAAAAAAAACCCCCCAGATCTTTGGGGTTTACACCAGCACCTGCACAGGGACGAGCTGTGGGAGCAGCAGCACCTCTGGGGCTCGTTAACTCAACCCCCTTTACTGGGAGGACTGGAAAACAGGGGGATATTCCTTTGGATTCATCCCCAGGGGGATAAACCCAGCCCTGGGACGCTCCCCAGCGTCCTTTAAACTGACACTGCAACCCTTAAAACCCAATAAATAACGGGAATAAATTAACAACAAAAGAGGGAATTAAGGAAGATTCCCCCGCACGGGCGGCTGGGGAGCGGAATTCCAGGCCCAATCCCGGTTTTCCTGCCCCGGCAACACTAAAGGAAGAAGAGCTGCTCGCTCAGGTGGGCACTGGGCTCGTGGTGCAGCACCTGCCCCACCAGGAATGCCAACTTGTGGGCATATTTACAGGGGGCTGGGACACGGACGGTGCCAGGCCAGTTCCAGTACAGGTGGCACAGCTTGAAGGTCAGCCTGGGGACAGACAGGGAGAGAAAAAAGGGGGATTGGTGATTCCCAGCGGGATGGATCCGCTCCCGGAGGCCAAACCTGCTCCCACCCGGGTGTTTCTTCCCCACTTGGAGGAGGAGGCAAAGGTTGGGGCACCCCGGGGTGACACAGTGTCCTCTGTCACCTCTGCCACCGGAGGGATGGGATGGGATGGGATGGGATCCGCCTCCTCTGCCTCATCCACATCCTCCCAGTTCACCCAGTTCACCCAGCAGGTTCAGCCCAGTGCCTGCACTGCCCCCCCCCCCACTCCAGGGGGCTGATTGACCCAAAACTCCCCAAATTTTGGGGGGTCCTCACACTGAAACAAGGCTGCTCTTCCCTCTGCAGGACACTGGGGGGCTGCAGGATATTGGGGGGGGGGGTTCCAGGAAAGCTGCCCTTCCCTCTGCAGGATTTTGGGGGTCTGTAGGATAAGGAGGGACTCCAACCCCCCTCCCTTCCCTCTGCAGGATTTTGGGGGTCTGTAGGATAAGGAGGGACTCCAACCCCCCTCCCTTCCCTCTGCAGGATTTTGGGGGTCTGTAGGATAAGGAGGGACTCCAACCCCCCTCCCTTCCCTCTGCAGATTTTGGGGGGGGCTGTAGGGTCTTGGGGGGCTCTGGGACCCCTGCCCTTCCCTCCAGAGGTGCTTGGAGGGCTCTGGGCAGGATTTTGAGGAGCCCCTGCCCTTCCCTCTGGAGGATTTTGGGGAGCTCTGGACCCTTCCCTTACCTCTGGAAGTGCTCAGAGGGCTCTGGGACCTCTGCCCTTCCCTCTGGGGGATTTTGGGGAGCTCTGGGACCCCTGCCCTGCCCTCTGGGGGATTTTGGGGAGCTCTGGGACCCCTGCCCTGCCCTCTGGGGGATTTTGGGGAGCTCTGGGCCCCCTGCCCTTATCCCTGCAGGAACTTTGAGGACCTCTGAGCTCCTTGCCCTTATCCCTTCAGGATTTGGGGAGGGGGCTGAAGGATCTCAGGGAACTCCAGGCCCCCTGCCCTTCCCTCTGGAGGACTTTGGGGGGTCTCTGGGCCCCTTCCCTTTAACTCTGGAAGTGCTCAGAGGGCTCTGGGACCCCTGCCCTTCCCTCTGGGGGATTTTGGGGAGCTCTGGACCCCTGCCCTCACCTCTGGAGGTGCTCTTGGCTCAGGTTGGCCGTGTTCCACATGCAGATGTAGCGGGTGGGAATGCTGCAGCCCTGCCGGGAGCTGTGGGCCAGCAGGAAGAAATCCTTCCTGGGGGTGTAAAAAGGCCTTTTTACACCTCAATTTCATTTTTTTTTTACTTCCCCCCCCCCCCAGTGTCTTTTTTTCACGCCCCAGGGTGGTTTTACACGTAGTTTTTTGTGTTCTGGGGTGTTTTTACCACCATTTTTTACACCCCCGGGGTGGTTTTTTTGCACCCCGGGGTGATTAAACAGACTTTTTTTTTGGCTTTTTTTGCACCCTGGGGTGTTTTTACAACCACTTTTTTTTTTGCACCCCCCAGTTGTTTGTTGTTTTGTTTTTACACCCCAGGGTGGGGTTTTTTGCACTAATTTTTTGCACTCAGGGATTTTTTTGCGCCCCAGGCTGATTTTAGAACAATTTGTTTTCACCCTGGGGTGTTTTCACAATGATGTTTTGCACCCCAGGGTGGTCTTTTTGCACCCTGGGGTGATTTTACAACCATTTATTTGCACCCTGGGGTGTCTACAATGATTTTTTGCACCCCAGGGTTGGTTATTTCACCCCCCAGGGTGGATTTTTTGCACCCTTGGGGTGATCTTACAACCATTTATTTGCACCCTGGGATGTCTGCAATGACCTTTTGCACCTCAGGGTGGTTTTCTTGCACCCTGGGGTGATTTTACAACCATTTGTTTGCACCCTGGGGTGTCCACAATGATTTTTTTTGCACCCCAGGGTTGGTTATTTCACCCCCCAGGG